GTGGTCAGGATATGCAGATGTGCTTCTGCTCTTTCTTTGTAACTATGCCGCCACCTAGGGAAGGGAGATCTTCAGCGTACATGACCTAGAGTATGTGACTTGGGGCACCTCACTACCTAGACAACAACCCTACCCATCTTTGTCCCTGCCCATCTACACTCAAGACCTTCCTTGCCTACCCTCAGTCCGTACCCCACAGATGTTTCCTGAAGGTGCACAAAAGACGCATCAGCTGGCAGCCCAAGGAGGCCTGCACCCACGTCAGGTGAAAGCTGCCTCCAACCCCGCTCAGGGCTGCAGGAGCCAGGACACTGAAGACCCAGACTGGTCACATAAGCCAGAGTTACCCTACAGACGACAAACCAGGACAGATGTGCCAGAGGCCACCCTTTGTCTGTCCAGGCCAGGGGAGGGGAGACACACAGGAGACTATTAGTAGCTGAGGTGGGGAAGAGGACCTTCTCAACAGATCAGTGTGTCAGTGCACTGACATACGTGAGTGCTCTCGGAGTTCCCTCCCCAAACCCCACCCCAACCTAGGACTGCACTGGGGTGGTCTCTGGTGTGGAGCAGACAGGAAGGCCTGGTCACCGTAGCTCCAGGCAGTTCACCCAGCCCACGACACCCTCATCCTCACCATCAGTCATGCTTGGGGAATGGCTACACCTGCTGCTGCTTCTGCAGCCAGAGATCCAGACACCCGGGAGGCCCATTGCTGTGCTGCCTATGAGTTGTGTCTTTCCCCAAAGAGCTCCTGGTCTCTCTCTATAGTCCCCAAGCACAGTAAATGTCTGATGAAGCTGGCAGAAGTGGCGTTTCACAGGGGAAGGCAGAGAGTGGGTGATGAGAGGCAAGGACTGACCTGAGGCTCCCAACCACATGAGCTGACTTCCTCAGGGCAGTACCTGCAGGGTTGGGTGCAGGGAAAGGGTGGAACCCTGGTTCTGCAGGAGGAAGACCCAGGCAGGCCTGAGTGTCCTTCTTGGATCCTGTAGTCTCCAGCACGCAACCTAAGGGCAGTACTGTTGGCTTAGCTGCCCAGAAGCCCCTGGCCTGGGACTGCAATTACATGTGGCAAGCCATACCCACCCTGCCTCATGTGTGCCCTGGGAGCCACTGCAGACAGATTCAACCTTCAAGTATCTCAAATACAAGGCTGTTGAGATGTCTCAGATGGTAACAGTATTTTCTGACTTGTCTCACAACCTGACTTTGATTCCTGGGACCCAAGGATGGAAGAAGAGAACCAATTCCTCCAAGTTGCCTCTGCCCTCCACATGCACACCATGGCATACATGCACCCACACATGATAAAATAGGTAAGCATGTAAAACAATAATAATAAGGACGATGATTGAGGAAGGCACCCCGTATTGACCTCTGGTCTCTGTTTACATGTGTACACATGTGCATTCATTCACACATACATGTGTACACTTGAATACATACAACACACACAAAGGCAAGAGTACTCCTGCTGTGCTTATACAGGACAATGTAGTCCTGTTTATTTAATCTTTCATGCATGTGCTAGGGCCCTGTTGTCTATCTGAGCTGAGCAGGTGCCTGAGGTCCTCTGGCTTCAGTCTTTCTCACTAGGTTTACTAGTGTGTACCACTGTGCCCTACAGCGCCGCTGTTCTGAAAAGACAAAATTGTCCTGGAAAATTTGGGGGCTGTCTGTAATGTACATGTTCTTCAACATTTAATAAAATTAAAATTTAAAAACGATGATTTTAAATTTGTCAAAATGTTGATAATTCTCCCATCTGGGGATCATTATGCTATTATTTCTGCTTTTTAGTTGGTTTGAAATTTTTCAGTCCAAAAAAGAAATTCCTGTCTTTCCAGACTATTTTTCTTTACTGGGGCTGGGGCTGACTGTGATGAGAGGTCACAAAGAAAATAAGCGTGCACACACACACACATGCACACACGCGCATACACAAACTTCTCTCGCACACACGCACACACACATGCACGCGCATACACGCGTGCACACACATGCATACACACACATACCCATACACACACATTCACACACTTTTGTGTGTGCACTGCAGTGGTCAGTCAACCCCTTTAACGCCCCAGTACCTTCTGGTCTCCAGGTCTTGGCCAGTGGTGAGCCCTGTCACTAATATGAAGGCTTGGGGTCTGGACAGTGGGGAAGGGCCTACCAAGTTGGAAACCCTGCTCCCATCTGCACCCATGGCCACAGCGCCTGCAAGGCTTGGGCAAGGTACAGTCAGCCTACCTAAACCCCGAGTTCCCAACCCCAGAGGTGTTTACTGAGAAATGCCGCCTGAGCCGGGGATGTCACTTTATTAATGTTCTGTCTGTGGTCATTCAGCCTCGCCATAGGCCAAGAGGAGAGACAGAAGGTCTCATAGGCCATGTAGCAACAGAGACAAGCCAGGTCTTCCTCCAGCCAGTTTGGCTTCACCTCCATGGACTCCCAAACGGGTCTACAGTGGGGAAAAGCAAGGTGCCCTCTGTAGCCTCAAGGACACCATACCCTTCCTCTGGGGTTAGGAGCCCTGGGTCCTGGGAGTCCAGTAGATGTTCCTTGCTGTCAGCAGTTAGTTCACTTGTCGTATACCGCACCACCCTAGTATGGCCACAAGGGGCAACCCTCAGCCGGTTCTTCAACCAGAAACAAAGTATGTCAAATTATATATAACAGTATCACAAGTTATGTAAAATCTTGCCCTTAATGTTTAAAATCCCTGGATGCCAATGGGTCCCACCTAACCAGAGTGTTCTTGACATGTTGGATCTTGATATGCTGCTGCTGGAGTTGGTCTCAAATTTCTTGGTTTGTAGCCGGGTGGTTGCAGCATTGACCTTTAATCCCAGCACTTGGGAGGCAGAGGCAGGTGGATCTCTGGGAGTTCAAAGTCAGGCTGGTCTGCAGAGCTAGTTCCAGGACAGGCTCCAAAGCTACAGAGAAACCCTGCCTCGAAAAACAAAACAAAATTCCTTGGTTCAGTGGGATAGAGAGATAGTTCAATACTTAAGAGTGGTCGTTGTGGCAGAAATCTTTAATAAAAAAAAAAAAAAAGAGTGGTCGTTGCTCTTCCAAAGGACCGGGGTTCAATTCCCAGCACCCATATGGTAACTCACAACTGCTTGTAATTTCAGCTTCAGCGAATCTGACATCCTCTTTTGGATTCTACGAGTACCTGCATTCACATGTACACAGGCACACACACACACACACACACATAATTTAAAAATTAAAGTACATAAAATATTCCTTGGTTCAAACAGTGACCCTGCTTCCACCCCCAGGGTGGTCGGGGCCACTGCCATGCACTGTTGGCCTAGTTCACTGCCTAAGCACTGAAGACACAAAATTGGTAAACAAACAAACAAACAAACAAACAAAACCCACAACCACCAGCACAAAACCCCAGTGGCTTCAGAGGAGACTGAGGATCAAATCACTGCCGAATTTAGCAGTTTAGGACAATAAGCTGTCTTATCTCTGGGTCTGATGCAGGCCCTCTAGTGGAAGGGGATGCAGTGTGCTGTCTCCCAGACCTGTGGCTGAACAGGGCTCTGCATGGCTCTGCCTTCTAGCTCCCTCCCTAGCACTGGCCGGCCTCATCCTTTGCTAGTCAAAGGCGTCCCCAGCTGCCTTGTGTTGTGGTGAGCAATACAATACAGTTGGGAGAAATGACAGCCATCACTTCTGCCATATTCCTGTGAGCAGAAGCAAGACTTTAGGTGCAGCTTCTGGGAGGGGTCAGTTGAGGGAGGAAATGCCAGCAGACATCAGGGCTGTTCTTGAGAATCCTAAAATCACAGGGACAAGCAGGGGAGATAAGTAATGACGTGGGAGAGACGTAGAGAGACTTGGTCAGAGCTGAAATGTTCTAAGAGCCTCAGGAGCACTCTTTCAAAAGATGCTGTTTCAGCAAAGAGCTAAGGGTAGTTAGTATACAGTTCTGGGGACATAAACAGCCCACTCAAAGGCTCTGAGACAGGAGTCTCGGCAGACTGAGCAGACTAGAAAACAGTGGGAACTGGGGTGTGTTTGGCTGACTGCACTCTTCAAATATGCCAGCACTGTTGGCAAAGTCACTAGCCGCTCTCGTGCGGCTCTCGGTCGGTCATGACAGCCCTCTTACACAGCCTTGGGAAGGCTTCTGTTCCCATTCCGCCATTCAGGCCTCCATCCTCTGCCCATAGCAGCTCAAACAACATCAGCTCATATCCTGCAGCCCCTGTTGTGGATTCTGACCAGCACTCTGCGGCAACCCGAGTGTTGCCCTGTTGATTATCCATCTCTTCCAACAGATCTTGTGTCAGATCGAGAGACCTTGTATTGATCAAAGTGTCCTCAAGGCTAAGGCAGCAGGTAGCACGGGATGGGGGAGGGGGTGGGGAGTTCAGATGATGGGAGAGTATCACGTGGAGTAGGGAGGCTTCACTGTTTGCACTGTCTGCCAAACTTACTGCACTCACTCTTGCATTTTGGTTTGTTACAATTCAGCATGGAAAGAGGTGTGTTTGTATCTAAAGTGACATGAAGGGACAAGCGGCTACCAGACCGGAGGGAGGCCTCCGGGATCAGTCCACGGGGAATGTTTAGGAAAGAGGACCAGCACTGAAGAGTGGCAGATGTGAGCAAGGTCGCAAGGAGGCACAAGAAGTGAGGCCCTGCCGGTCGGTGGTGGCCCACACCTTTAATACTGGCATTCGGGAGGCAGAGGCAGGCAGATATCTGTGAGTTCGAGACCAGACTGGTCTACAGAACGAGTTCCAGGACAGTCTCCAAAGCTACACAGAAAAACTCTGTCTCGAAAAACAAACAAACCAAACCAAAGCCAAAAAAAAAAAAAGTGAGGCCCTAATAGATTTCCGCTAGGGTGCAAGGTTGCCAAAGGACGGAAGCCAGTACAACACTAAGGAGTCTACTAAAGTTCTAAGTCCCGCCCTCCAGGTGCCTCAAGCCCCGCCCCACGCCCTAAGCCCCGCCCTTTAGCTCGGGCCTGCGCTCCGGGCCTGATCTCCAGCAACACTGGCAGCCCTAGGTACCACCCCGCCCCGCTGCCTCGTCCTTCCGTCTTCCCCGACACCAGAAGTTCCGCCCCGAGAGGACTCCGGAGCTTGCGAATCGCCGAGTCCGTACTTCTGCGCAGGCGCCCTCAGTCCACAGTTGGCTAGGTTCCTGCAGCGAAACCGCTTTGCAGCCATGGCCCCTCCGCCGCTGTCGCCGCCGCTGTGCGTTCTGCCGCCAGGCTCGGGCCCTCCCCGCTTCGTGTGCTACTGTGAGTCGGAGGACAGCGGAGACGGGGACGGCGGCGGCTTCAACCTCTAGTGAGTGGGGTCTAGGGATGTGGGGTGCGGGAGCGCAGCGGGCGCCGAGCCTGACAGCCCCTCCCGCCCAGTGTGACGGACGCCGCGGAGCTCTGGAGCACCTGCTTCTCGCCTGACAGCCTGGCGACGCTCGTGCGTACCCGCGCTGGGGATGGGAGACTTCTGGGAGCCTAGCACTCCTTACGCCCCGCCCCTTTGCCTGTGGTCCTAATAGTATTCCAGGGTTGGGCAGTTTGGAGCGTCTTGTGGGTCCAGGGTCCCGGGCAGGTAGTGACAATTCCGTGTTCCCATTAGAAAACCCGATTTGGCCTAAGTGGGACCGAGGACATATCTTCCCGGTTCAGGTGAGTCCCAGTTAGAGAGGCCACGTGGGTGAGGAACTTGGGGTAGTGTTAACACACGTCCTGTCCATAACACCATTGTCTCTCTACTTAGGGCAGCTTGCCAGCAACAAGCAGTGACTGTAAGCCTGCAAGAGGATAGGGCCTCGATGACCCTTTCAGGGGACACCTCCACACTAGCCTTTGACCTCTCCAAGGTGCCCAGCCCAGAGGCAGCGCCTAAGCTCCAGGCTTTGACTCTCAGCCTGGCAGAGCGTGTGTACAACCTAGAGAAGCGGCTGGCAGGTAGGATGTACGTGGGCACCTGAACCCTCACTCAGGGTCCTGCTTTCACATACCCTCATGGCACTGAGTGGGGTGCCCCATGCTTTCTCCCGGCTGCAGAAGAGACTAGTCCCAGGAAGAACATCCATCCAGCGGGTCCTCAGTTCTTCTTACCAGGTAAGAGGCGGGCCTGGCAGGTAGGTTGACTGGGCTTTCTCTGGAACTGCCTCCCCCTGACGCCCCATGTTCTAGAGAGACTCTTTCAGAGTGGACAGAGTTCTGCTCAGGTTTCTTTGGGGTTCAAGATTTCCCTGATCTGATTTTTCTGGCAGAACCTGATCACCAGAGAGGCAGCTCTGGACTTGGGGTCAGGAGACGGTGTCCGGGGGAGTCTCTCATCAACCCTGGCTTCAAAAGGTACCTGCCCTCGTGTCTTTCCTACCCTGGTCCCCTCCCTTTCCTCTGTGCGTTACATATATTGTCTTCTAGTAAGAAGCCAGCTGGCGGTGTAGACTTCGATGAGACCTGAAGATACAGCAGAACCTGTGTCCTTGCCAGAAGCCTGTCTACAAGGAAAGGGGTAGATCCTTGACCCCCACCAACCAGAGAAAGCCACCGCTTAACTTCCACCGACTGGTCTTACAGTTGGGCAGGAGCTCCTCTCATCCCTTCCTGGTTAAATAAAGTGCTCTCTTGGGGAGAAATGCTAGGCCAGACTCGACTGGTGAGGAACCGCCTTGGGGAGGAAGCCAGAGAAGGGCCTTTTGATGTGGGGCCCCAGGGTGCAAACAGGTGCATCAGGCTGTGTGCACCCAGGAGGCGCTCCTGGCTGGGTCTAGGGTAGAGATTTCTTAGACTGTCTATGTTGTTTCTGCATGGCCAGCCCAGAAGCTGAAAAGATCCCTGCCTGGTAGGGCTAGGACTCCCTACGGCTTGGAGTGCCGCCCCACACTTCTAAGCTCCACCCACGCAGGGCAGGTCACACCTGTCGCGTACAGAGATGCACAGAGTGCTTGTCTTGGGGAAGATGCATGTTTGGAAGGCACCCACAGAGCATCAGATGGTGGGAGCCCCTCAGAGGAGGAGATGGGGCTGACCCGCAGTCTGTGGTGGGGCTAAGGAATGTAGGCCTGCCCCCACCCACCTGGCCGGAATCCCGGAGGTTGAGCTCCAAGGAGCTAGCTCTTCTCCCCACCCTTCTTGGCCATCCAGGGCACCCCGCCCAGCTCTGGCCTGACTGGTTTGGGAGACTAATCCAGTCCCCTAGATCTCTGCCGGCCCCAGGCCTTTGAGCCAGCACCACAGAGGAGGAGGAGGAGCTGCGCCTTGCCTGCCGGACTCTCCTGCCCCATCATTTTAGGCTGTCATCTTGAACTGTGTTTCTCACCGTGGGGTTGGGCTAGCGTAATTGTGGGCCTCTGGCCACTTGGATGTTCAGGACACGCTTACTTGGGGGCACAGATGCCTTTATAGGCCACAGAGGAGTGTATGGAGTTGGGGGGCTAACGGGGATGCACAGCGGGCCGGTAAGCTGCCAGGATCTCTGCACTGTGGGGACACGTGTACTTGAACTCCTTCTCCTGCAGCGCGTTGTCCAGGTAGCGGCGGACAGCACCCAGGTCCTCGGGGATGGGCATCTGGCGGAAGTGTGCACACACGGTCTGTGGGTACGACAAAGTGTGATGAGGGAGGGCCTCACGCGACTGCCCTTCTCCCCACACCTACCAGCTGGCGCCCCACTCACATCCACAATGTGCAGCTTGGGCAGCAGGCTGCAGTCAGCCAGTGTGAATTGGTCACCATCCAGGAATCGGCGCCGGGACTCACGAAGCTGTGGCTCCTGTGCCAGTTCATGGTCTAGTGGGGTGCGCAGGTAGGCGTCCAGCTTGGTCAGGGCCCGGAGCAGCTGCTGACACAGGGCTTGGGAGCAATGGCACAGTAAGGTCTTAAGCTTGGCCTTGGATAACCCTCCTGCCTGTCAGGGCTGGGCTGGGTCTCACCATTGTCCTGTGTAGGCACTGGGTTTTTGATGAAGGCAGAAAACTTGTGGAAGATGTCATTTCCTGCCGTGTTGGACTCCCGGTACCTAGGTGCCAGGCTAGGGAAGCTGTAAGTGGCAGAGGTTTGAGAACTCCAGTCAGATCCTCACACCACGTCTCAACACACCCTTCCTAAGCATTCTCCCAAGCGTCCCCCAGGGAGTCCCATCCTTGCTTTGCCGCCCCGTCAGGTGCTCACTCAGGTGGCCTTAGCGTCGCCTCCAGAAACTCCTCAATCTGCAGCGTGTCTGTCTTGACATCCCCATCATAGAGCAAGATGGGCAGCTGCGAACCTGGCGCGAAGTCCTTCAGCACATCCAGTGCCCTGTGGACACCAGGCAGAAGGGAGGTGGCTGGCCCGAGGTGGGCAGAAGCCAGGGAGGGGTCCAGGGCCGTGTCTCACCTTCGTGTGTCCACCGTGGTGAGGGTGAAGGGCACACCCTTGAGGAGTAGGACCATGAAGAGCCGCTGACAAGAAGGGCAGTGTCCGACACTCTCGCCGTCTTCGCTGGCCTGAGTGGGTGGAGCAGGGGTGTTGGGCTGGGAGTAGACCCAGGAATCTTGACACCTGGCTGGGTGGGAACCTGCCTCCCACTGCCATTGGCTCTGGAGGCATGCTAGGACTCTGGCCTGGTTGGGCCTGGCATTTACAAGAGTGTAGAGAGGGCCCTTGACCTGAGCCCTGGTATGGGGAAAGCAGGGGAAGCCAGGAACTTGGAGGCAGGTAGGGACAGGGCCTGAACTTAGGGTCCTGCCACAACCTTTTCTTCCAGCACCAGAGAGTTCTAGACACAGAGACTGGCTACAGGGTGGGGTAAGCCAGAGAGCCTTCTAGGTGATTAACCCACACAACCAGGTATTGAGGCTAATAACTCAGCTCAGGGAAATGGCCAAAGAGGAGCTCAGGACCTGCCCGCACTCAGATCTGAGCTCTGGCCTGAGAGCCAATGGAGCTATCCGGCAATACCCCCTCCTGGCACATGAACGTGAATCTCCAGATAAATGTCTGATGCAAGCTACCGGATTCACAGCTCCCCACCAAGGGGCTTTCTCCCAGGGCTGGGCCAGGTCTAGGATCCAAGGTTTAGAGACCCAGGCTATCTGATCCCCCTCCCATATGGAAACTCCTCCCCCAGGCTGCCTGACTCTGTTCAGCCCTGTGTGGGGCAGCTTCAGCCCCACACGGGGGGGGGCACCCCTAGGAAGACCCACCCCTTAGCCTACACAAGAACACAGAACACCCCGTCCAGCCCAGAACCTTCACAAACAGCTGGAGCTTGGTGGTTTCAGCCATGGTAGGAGTTGAGGCATCCGGCAGCAGCTCAGGGCACACACAGGGTGTGCCTTGGGAGCTCTTTAAGTCTCCCTGGATGCTCCACCCTCCACAGTCAGTGGGCCCGCCCCACAGAGCCACCTAGGCAGCAGATAGGTTGTCAGGGCAGAGCCAGTTGTCTGTTTAAGAGCAGGGTGTCCTTGCTTAAGTGACCACAGGGAGCTTGAGTCTCAGGACTGGCGGTGAGTATAGGAAGCTGACTCACAGCAGAAGCCTCAGTGTGACTGTGATGGGGCCAGCGAGGTGAATACAGATGGGAGAGGAGAGACAGGAGCATTGGGGACTACTAGCCTGGGAAGGACAGTTCTGAACTGGAGCTGCCCTACACTGATCTCAGTCCTCTGAAGTTCATCTCCATTGTCCAGTCCTTATCCCAGGAAGCCAGGGAGTAGGGATGAGTGGGAAATGCCTCAGTTTCCCCATCTGTGTGATAAGCCCTTCAGGAAGAGATGCCCCCTCCCTCCAACAAAGCCCAGTTAGCTAGGGCCCTCTGACCTCAGGGCGGGCCCACATTCCTGACATGTTCCTGGCTGGCTGGCTGATAAACCTGGTTTTGGTGTTTAACCCAGCTGGGCAGAGGACTCCATGCCACCATCCCGTCTACACAGGCTCAGAGTGGGTTTCCTGCTCTTAACCTTCAGATGGCACCAGCAAGGGTTAGCTACCTGCTGGCAGAGGAGCTGGGGATGTGGTCCTCGGCGGGAAGGAAAAGGCCACCAGGCACACACCTGCCGCTCCCTCAGGCTTTCCGAGCCCACTGGGGTCCACAGGGCGCTTTGCCTTGCATTCCTTGTGTCTCTGCCTGCAGCTGCTATCAAGCGGCCAGCCCTCCAGACTTGGTCTTCAGAACGTGTGCTCAGAGGACTGGCTCTGCCCAGGGCTAAGACCAGGACCTGGTGATTGCTTCCCCCTCTCTGGTAGGTTGGTGCCATCCAGGCTAGGTAGTGTAGCCAAGGTGGCTCCATACCTGCCCACTCACCTACTCTCATGCCTGCCTCTGGCCAGTGCCTCAGCTGTCCCAGGTGCTCCCCTTCCTTAGCCCTGTCTGGCCACTTCCCAGGCCTCAGTGGAGCTCCCAGACAGGTAGAATGTAGCTCTGACATCCGTGAGGCTTGACTCTGTGCCAATTTCTCCCCCGACTCTTTCCTAGAGCCGTATTTTGGCTTCTCACGGACTTGGCCGGCTTTTTGCTTTGTGGTTTTCTCTCCTTTGCTGACAGATCAGCACTGTAGCCCCTGAAGCCTTTCCCAGCTGCCGGGATAGGCCCTGAGTTTATCTATTTCTGCAAAGCTGCCCTTTCTAAATGCATGAGAAAAGGTGAAGTGGACAGACAACACGGGCGGTGATGTGGAGAAGAAGCAAACACATCTCAAGAAACAAGGCCGAGTGATGCAGGCTCTACTGTGACGAGCAGAGCTGTGGACGTGTCCTGTGTCAGCCGTGGTGGGAGGAGTCATCACTGCTCTGCTCTTATGCTCACAGACACAGGGGTCGTCACTACAGCACTTGTGTCCCTCACAAGGAATGGGATAGGAGACGGCCCACATATGCATGCCAACAGAGCCTGGTATTACAGGGTTGTCGTGTTCCCCCCCCCAAAGCTTCATGTGCTGGAACCTTAATCCCCAGGACCTATAATGTCCTTAATGAGACAATCAAATTGAAAATGAGACCGTCCAGTAGGCTCTAATCCAATATGACTATGTCCTTTCAAAGGAGAAATGTTGTAGCTCAGGTATTTCCCAGTGGTAGAGAGCCTGCCTGGGGTTTGATTTTTCAGCATCGTAAAGGGGGCAGGGGAGATTTGAACACACAGAGACAGGCAGGCTCACAGAACATCCCGTGAACACGATGGCAGAGGAGGGCAGGATGACACACCTGTGCTCCGAGGATGACGGAAGACCGCCCAGCAAAGTTCAGGAGTCATGGGAAGGCCTGAAACACATCTTTCCTCCAGCTTTTAGTGGAGCCAGCCTGCCCTAATCCCAGTCTCTCTTTTCATTGTACGGCAACCACAGCAAACCAACAGGAAAACACAGAGAACCGACAAAGAGCAGCGTTAGCACGTGAGCTTATGAGCCGCTGCTGGCCCACACTGGGCTGGAGACATCTGTCAGCAACTTCCGACAGGAACACGCCAACTCTTGCTCTATCCAGACACCATGTGCACTTGTGCGGCTTGTAAATAGTTTATTGATTTATTTTGTTTTAAGATATCTGTTTTTTTTTTTTTTTTTTTTTTTTTTTTTTTTTTTTTTTTTTTTTTTTTTTTTTTGAGATAGGGTTTCTCTGTGTACCTCTGGCTGTCCTGGAACTCTCTTTGTAGACCAGGCTGGTCTCGA